GCCTCCCAAGTGCTGGGACTACAGGCATGCGCCACCACGCCTGGCTAATTTCTAGGATTTTTAAAAATATTCAATTTATATTATTCTGGGCTTGCTTTAAAAAAAAAATAGCACTGATTGAGTCTTCTTTAGCCCAGAACCTCATATCAAATCCCATACACAGTTTTGTTTTCATAGGCACTCTGACCAGAACCAACTTGGGGAGGAAAAGAGTTTATTTGGCTTACAGCTTACAGTCAAGAGAAGCTGAAGCAGAAACTCATGGCAGAGATTTGGATGTAGGAACTGAAGCCCCGACCATGGGGAAACACTGCTTACTGGCTTGCTCCTCCAGTCTGTGCTCAGCTTGCTTTGTTATACAACCTAGGACCACCTGCCCAGGGTGGCATGGCCCACAATGGGCTGTGTCTTCCCACATAAAAAAGCAATTAAGAAAACACCTCTCAGATATAGCCACAGGCCAATGTGATGGAGGAAATACCTCAACTGCGGCTCCCTCTTCCCAGGTGTGTCAAGTTGACAAATGACGCTATCCAGCACAGGAGCTTTTCGTCTTAGGGGTTGTTTAAGGTATATGGGAAAAGAGCAAATGAAGTAAGAGATTTAGAAAAACGTTTCTAAGTCAGATCATCATTTTAGGGTGGCTTGATAGATTTGTTGATTAAATTCAGAAATTAAAACTTCGGAAGCACTGCTTATAATTGTGCAGTGGTTCATTTCAATGGATGCAACTATGAGAATTACCTTTGCCAGATCCACCAAGGTATTTGCTTGGTCATTCAGTTTCCTCTGCTCCATTTTTACACTTCTTAATCTAAAAGACAGAATTGGAAGTCAGAAAAGTCCTCAATTCTCTGCCGATGTTACTGCTTTCAAAGAGCATGCACAAAATCGACAAGAGCAAATAACTGCATGGATAATGCCTTGAATATTTGGGGGTAAAGTTCATACTGGTTATGTATCTGGTACAGTGAGGAGCATGCTTCCCCAACACCACAAAAAGAAAGGAGAGCAAGAGATGAGATGTCCTCCGGACAACTATTTACCAGGTAAGTTGAATTCAGGAAGACTCATAAGGATTTAACCCTATGAGAAAAAGCCAAAACATTCCTTAAAGCCCCAGTATCATGACAAATAGACATAGGAAGAAATATGCAAAGCAACTGGAATTTCATAATGTTGGAGCAATGAGCACCTTCCTATGCCTACGTGACTAGATACAGGTATTAACCCTGTTTAGTCTGAAATGAATCGGGTTAGGTATTTGAACCTGATGAAAACACAGTGATAAGTGAGATTCTTATTAACAAAACAAAACTTTTATTCAACCAGCAGCAAGATAACTCAAAACATATAATTCTCCTATTCTTCAGTGCAATGTAATTCACTTGACTTTTATCTTAACCTGGCATTGAATTTAATGGGTGGCCAGACTGTTTCTTTGGAGAATCTCTCTTAACTTTCATTGTAGAGAAAAATAAGATGACAAACTATCTGGTAGATAGAATATTTGTAAGGTTTCTTTCAGTTACTGTACAATATCATTGCATACTTGATTGACGGTCATAGGCCACTGTTTAAAAAAACTATCTTTCTCAATGAGAACGCCTACTGTTCTTTAACTTACGTATTGTATTATTCCAACAAATATTTATTACATGCTTATTATATTCAAGAAATTAAGATTTTATAAGAGAAAAGTAATTTATTGTCTATAAGTCAACAGTTCAAAGCCTTGTTCCAAAAAAAAAAAAGGTGGTATTTCTGAGCTATGTAGTGGAAAGAGAAAAATAGAAAATCCATGCTAACCTTATTTTGTGTTGATAATGGATCGCTTTACAAGGTATAGTTTTAATGAATGAGAGAGTATTTTATTATTTTTAATTTTAACTACATAGATGGAATAACAACTCATAGGGCAAGATTTTACTGCCAGGGAGTTTGCAATGTGTTAACGATGCTCAGTGATTTAGTTCTGCACCTACAGTACCCAGTATTGTGGCTGAATCTATGGTAAAGATGTAGTTCCTTCTGCTAATTAGAGTTTAACTGATATCAGCTATAATATAGTCTTTAATAACCTAAACTGTTTCAAATTGATCTATTCACTGCAATTGTGTGTTCATTAGAAGACTTGGAACAAAAATAACTGCCTCCTTTTTATCTTATTATAGAGGTGGAATAAGTTCTAGTCTAAAAGAAATTTGCAAACACATATTTAAATCCAATATTGTTGAGAGGTTTCTTTAAGTACTGACAAGGGGTATATCTCTTGAATTATAAATTTTAACAACCAGCAAAATTAAACAAAAACATCTTGAACACCTGTGGATCATTGCAGAGAAACATGCTAGAGAAAACTGCAATGTCAGCTGGGGACACCGTTCACACTGGCTCCATTTGACCTTTTGTTTCTTCATGGATGGAATGAACTGTGAGATTAGAACTGTGTCCTGGAATGCTGGACTCATACCAATGAAAGTGTTTTAAATGACTTTAAGTGACAGTCAAATAAGATATTAAGATGAAAACAGGTGGAAAGACATCTATTCCCTTGAACTATCCCCAAGGTCTGGACTATTACACACACATACACACACAAAAAAAGTGTCATGTAGGTCCTGTCCTGTCTCTATCTCATGATACCCGCTATTTTCTCTTTTTCATAGGGGAGGAGTGGGGTCTCTGCTCAGAGCTTTCTAGCCCATGGCTATATTTTAATACCCATATTTCATTTGCCAATTGATGCTAGCTTTAATTCTCCTTCTAAAATTTAATAATGATTAGCTTGGAGCTGTAGACCAGATATCTCCAGCAATCTGAGTAAAGAGAGTCTTGGAATTTGCAAATCAGGTGGAAGTGGGGATTGGTGGTTCCTTAGCTGAAGTGAGACTTCCCCTTAAAGTAGTGGAATCTATGTTGGATTTCCAAATTATGTCTGACAGTAGAATTTTGCCCATTTTATTTCTTAGTGATCTTGAAGGCCTGATGAAGGAAGATCGGAAGTTCTTTAGTTCTCTGAACTTACATAATCTGCCCTGCCTTCTTATACTGCTTGTGGTGTAGGAAAGCAGATAAAGCCTGCTTAAGCTGCAGCTGCCGGAATAAAAGGTAACATGCACATGTATATTACACATTTTTTTCTCCACAAAAGAATAAGAAACACATCTTCCTTGTGAACTTCACTTATCACAGGAAAATATCATGATTTTTGGATCACATTTCCATAGCAGCAATCAGACTACTAAAATCCACAAATAAAGGATCCGCTGGGTGCATGCAGCCAGAAGAAAATTCTGCAAATGTTGAAAGGAGTGGCTCACACAACTTACTTCCGAGCTCTATTTTCATTTTGTTGAAATAAAAAGACAAAACAAAAGAAAAGAAACTGTAAAGTATTCTGGAACAAAATAACATAATGTGGTGTTCAGTTGTGCACAGGGGGCTCGATTCATTAGCTGGAAGGTCCTGTTATGATTCTGCATGATTTTTTGACATTTATTGGCCAAAGCAAAACATTATTCCATTTCATCACCATCCTTTATGCTACTATGCTTTGCCTACCTGAAAGCACTTGGCTTCCTCTTGAACCAGAGTTCAGAAGGAAGAGAGTGTACAAGGTCAAGTTGGCCTCTTCATACTTGGTGTTCAAGGGAGCATTAGGAAACATTTTTGCTTAAAATGATAGGCACAATTTTTTTTTGTTGTTGTTGTTGTTTGTTTTTTTGAGGAGGGAGCATATCTTTTCCAATTTGGGGCTATTCAGGATCCCCTCTAATATAAATTATGTGTATTAGATTCCTTGGCTCTGAGACAAGTTCTTGTTGATTGATGGCTCCATGGTTGAGACAGAATGATGAAGCTAAAGCTGCTTTCAGAAAAAGGGTCGAAAGTTAGAGAGAGAGAGAGAGAGTACTTCATGGCATTAAGTGACAATTCAAAAAGATAGACACATGACTGAAGAGAGGGCACTGGCCTAGAGAGTTCAGCACCGTCAGAGACTTAGAGAGGTCACATGTTGGAAAGAGGCTATGAAGTTTGGAAAAGAGAAAGAGGGGGTGCTGGCAGAAGAGGAAAGAGCTGCTAAAAATGCTCTCTGGGAAAGTCAGAGATGAGCAGGAGCCAAGCAGGAGCCAGGAGAGCACCATCAAATGAATTATGAATTTTTGTCTAACCAGGAAGTTCTGATTCACCCAATGCTGGCAACAAAGTTGATCACTGGATCTGAGCAATGGGCAATGAAGGCCTTGTCTTGAGGAATCGAGCCCTATGTGCTGCTGTCCTTCATGACTTCACTCCCCAACTCCAAAACTATGTTAACACGACCCGTACAATCTTCCCAAACCCAGCCCATATAAACAAACTTGCTCTGCTATACCTGTTCATAACCTTTAAGTATCCCCTATAGCAAAGGAAACCCAGTAACCACCAGACTAATTCATAAAACAATTAAGAACACATTTGGGTTGCTTGAAGCTCATCTGCTTTTGATGTACACATTTCATCAAAAACAAAGAAAAAGAAAAGAAACAATATAAATAGCTGATGGAAGCAGAAGAATTATGAGGGGCTTCCTCTGTCACTGTCCAGAGGAGCTTGCCAAAGGGCTCTATGTAAGCTCTTCCCATGTGCTGTTGAGATCAAGTTGGCATGCCTTCTATGGCATTTTTGGTACTTCCTCTGTGCTAGTTCATAAAATAATTTCCCTTTCTAAAGAATTTCTTAAAATATATTTTTATAAAAGAAACTTAGAGTTGAAAGAATTTTATAGTGAATAAATACTTGTACATTCTCCCATATTTTTTAGTGTGAATGTGCTTAAAACTCAAAGCATATGACAAAATATAATAAATAACCACCACATACACACAGCTGCAGAAATGCATTACAAAATCTGTCACAGCATGCTTTGGGTTTGTTATTTGGAAATTTGTCAAAAAGGCAAATCAAATATGATTATACTTTATAGGAGGCTACACTGATAGGTACACAGAGTCTTGGAAAACAAGCAGCATGGTCACTCAATATATGGATCAGGCATACATTCTCCCTCCCACTTCATCTCACACCCTTTACCCTCAGATGCATACATTTCCTATCCCCACAAAGAGAAATTTTCTATCATACTCAAACAAAATAGATTACTATAACATATTAAAAACACAAAGATGATATTTCTATGGTTTTCTCTGTACCCCTTATATGAATGTGAGGGTTACCATGTGTACAGCTTTAGAGAGCAGGTTTGTTCTAATGGAGTCATTAGAGGTGAGTCCCTTGGGCTGGAGACCTGTCTAGTCAGGCCTGAGGAACACAGAGGAGAAGCTTGGCATCTCTTGGGGCTTTATTTTCTAATGTAGAGAATAAATAAAATGGCAGTGACTGGCCTGGGGCTCCAAGATGGTGTTCCTGGGTCAAAAAAGCCACTGAGCTCCAAAGAGCGAGCTCCTTCTTTGTGAGCCAGCCCTAATTTAATTATCCTTTCTGTGTTTTTCCCTGATTTTAAAAAGAATGATCTTAAATTTTCTGGTCCTATCTTTTCCTTACAAGGGGAGGTGGGGGGAGAAAAACAGTTGTGTGTCTAGTCAAGTCAGGGAGTTAAAGGAGAAATACCATCCCTTCTTAGGAAAGTGCGTGGGTGGCCACGAGGGAAAGAACATGAGTGAGTAGCTGTGAGCAGCAATGTAAGCTATGCACCATATGTGCAGAACTCTCTCTATTTTAAATTGCAGAGATACTTGGGTTTTATTTTGATTAGCCAAGCTTTGAATTTCCATAGAACTATGCACAGAAGCATAATTACAGGCACACTGTGGACTTTTTAGGATACTTGTTTAAGTAGGGAGTGAATGGACGGGTGCAAGGTTAGAAGATGAAAGCCTGGGGATTCCTCACAGAATGTTAGCTAAATGTATAAAATAAAATTTTCAGTCTCACAGCTTTCTTGTTTGTTGTACTAGTTGGGACTGAGAAGACCAATCTCATTAAATAGGGGAAAACTCAATATTTACCCACTTTTCCATTATTTCCCTGGCAGGCCTCGTAAGGAAAGCCAATTTTTTAGCCACAAGTGTGACCATGCAGACATGGCATTAAGAGCAAGTCTATATGGCATTACAGTTGATAACCACACGAGTAACACTTACAAGGAAGATGCTGTCAGCCTGGAGAGAAAGGTCTGTTTCCAAGTAATCACTGAATCTTACGAGGCACAGACTGTTATCTTAAAAGGCTATAATAATTATATAACAATGAAATGGCATGAAGGACTTAAGTAAGTTGAATAAACATAGTTTGAATAATGTCAGGATAATGAGAGCATAAAGAACTACAGAAATTCTAAGATCCATAGTGAACATATGGCATACTGATAATCCCCAAACTTCCAATTAAGGATTCGTTGCATATTCTAGTATTAATATGATTTCACATACAGATGTTTGATGGTATGTAAAAAATCCAGATAGATCATGTTAATGTTTAAAAATATTTTGCAGTAGATATAAGCTGAACCTCTCAGGTTAAACTACCTACTAAAATGCAACCTTAACAGAAATTGATTGCAAAGAGAAATCAAGAAGACATTTTGATTAACAAATGAGTGGTAAATGATTTTTAATCATAAAAGGACTAAAATTTTCTCCAAATTCCATTATTAGATTTTCAGAAACATGACAATGCCTTTTTCTTTTCTTCCCTCATGCAGGAAGGACCAGCAAATCAAGAACCCAAAGATAAGGATTAAAAAAAAGCAGGATGAAAATGAAAACAGGTACTTACTGATGAATAGCTTGCAAGAATTTTCGTTGATGCTTTCGTACTTTTGCATGATCGATCTTTTTTACTAGCTTTGTGTTTTTGTAGATAAGCCATGTTTCCCTGAGTACATTGGCAGCTGCGTTTTTCACCTGTTTAGAAAACACAAGCAAAGCGTTTGATCAATTATAAAAGAAATTCCTTTGTACACATTGAAGCTTGTATTTTTCATCTCCCAAATCACAGTGAGTTGTCCTTCTAGTAACTGATACTCCAAAGACTATTTTTTTTTGCATATATACCTTTATACAAGTATCTGTATCTGCCTGGGAATAGTATTTCAGTGAAATATCAGGGAGATATTACTGATCTCTTTCCTTGGTAAATTCTACCCTGCTGTAACAGAAAAACAAAAACCCATAAAAAAATACAAAGATGTTGATTTCTCTGCTGCAACTGTTCTCTCCATTTTCTTCATTTCCCCAGAGAAAAGGAAAATGCCAAATGCCAAGGTTAATCTTGTCTTTTGCAACCTCACTGTGTCTCTCTAGCTGTGTAGCATAGTCAAGGCACGTTTCTATGGCTGAATGTGTGAGTTCACCCCGTGTAAGTAACCTCCCAGAGTTGTTAGCAGACTTTAATGAATAGAGTGTTACCATGATGTTGTTGGAAAATTAAACACATTGCATTTTGAATGGATGGGGCCAATATGAATGATGAAAGCATTGCAGTAGCACCATTGAGATCTGCAGCTGATGGAGGCGGAACATTCTATCCAGTCATTTTCTTTTATGATTAAAATCTTCCAAAGACCCTGGAAACTGATGAAGACCCAGGCAGGGTACATGTTCTCTGCCTTGCTCCATCACAGGAGCTGAAAACCTAGAGCTTCTATTTCTTACTTATCCTAAGAAGTTGTTCTATTTAGTTCTTTTGAGTGATGGATAAAAATATTTCACAAAGAAAGCTATGAGCTGGTACGATATAAGTCAGAGGAAGACAATTCAGGATAGTGTTGGGGGAAAGACTGAAATACAAACTGAGACTGAGAAATCTCAGGATTGTAAATCCTAGAGTTTGAATTAACCATGTTGGGTCCAGTAACTAGTGAGTCTTGTTGGAATTTAATTTTCTCTAACGCAAGGATGCTAGAGACAATGATTATTAAAGTTCTGTTACTACTTAGATTTTCAATAAGAAGATGTCATACAATTACACTGTAAGTATGGTAGCAAGTTTACATGTATATTTTCTCACTTTTGTAAAGAAATGCCATGTTTTAGAACTAATGGTACCGGAAACTTTTCTTTTTGAGTGAAACGGTGTTGCTAAAATCCATTTTAAGAAAATGACTGGTTTCTTTAAAAAATAGCTTTTTGGATGATTCTGGTCCACTGTTCACATCTTCTGAATACCTATTAGACTTGCATGGAATGCTTGCTTCCTCAAATTGATAAACAACAGAAGAGATGTTGAACACAGCAGAACACAAAAGTGTACAACCCACACTCCAAGGTAGAAAGACAAATCTTGGCTCAATCTTCATGCTGTGGAAGCATCTTTCCAGATAGCAGCAAGTCCCCTTTTAAGGGCTCTTACTCTTTCCAAAGGTAAAGAAATAGTGATGCATGAGAGGTGGTTTGGGCACTTTGCTTTTACAGAGCAAGGAGGGGGAAGAGACTGGCCAGCAGTCTCTGCTGGGGACAGTTCTTTCCTGTGAGGAACAGCAGCTTTCTGTATGTGGAAACTTTGATGACTGATGAGCAGCCCCAATGCTGATGTGTCCTTGTGTCTTCCCTGATTTTATCAGTACAAGTGATAAGAGAAGAAAAGCCCATGTCCCACACTGGTCATAAAGGTAAACACACGAAAGTCAATGGGACAGGACCACAACACTGAACATAGCAATTGATTTAGGCTGAATTCCCATCTACAAAGAAAAAATTCCAAATTATTTTTAGTTTGTAAAGTTTTTAAAAATTTATTTTATGTGTATGAGTGTATCACCTGCTTGTTGGTAGGTGTACCAGTGTCATGCAATGCCCATGGAGGTCAGACGAGGGCATAGGATCCCCTGGAACTAGAGCTACAGATTGTTGTTAGCCACTATGTGGGTGTTGGGAATCAATCAAATCCAGGTCCTCTGCAAGAGCAGCCAGTGTTTTCAGCCACTGAGCCATCTCTCCAGCCCCTAGACTGAAAATTTAAAAAAAAAAGGAGTTTTCTTGCTTTTTGGATTCATTTAAAATGTTTGTTTCTTGTTGGGAAGATGGAGTATAGCTGAAGGGGATTAGAAATCTCAAGTCAGAGTGCATTGGGGTGGAGTAAAGCACTGGGGGTTTTATGCTCAATATGTGTTCCCTAAGCAGTCATTGTAGCTGACGGGCTTATGAAACCTTACATTTCCTTTTTAAAAACTTTGAACTATGTGAACTGATTTGATTGATTGATTGGTTGATTGATTGAATTTTCTTTTGTCTTTTTGAAACAGGTTGCCCTATAGCTGCAGGTGGCCTGGATCTTACCATGACCAGGCTGGCCTCAATCTCACAGAGATCTTCCTGCTTCTGTCTCCCAAGTGCTGGAATTAGACATGGGCCATTATGCCCGGCTGTGAATTGATTTTTAAACATTATGTTTCTTACTCCATAATAAAATCTTTAAAACCTATTTAACTGTTACTTTTCACCATGAAAGCCACAAAACATAAGTGCTGGAATGAAACATCAAAACAAAGAACCAAACTATGTCCATGACTCAGATATGTTTCCATTTTAGGTCTTCTAGTCCTTCTTAGGGCTGAGAGAAATAGAGGACAGTGCGCAGGCAGGCTTCAAAACACTGTGGTAAATTGTCGTAAAAATGTGATGCGCAAACTTTATGGAAAACCCAGAGAAAAGCAAGTCTCCACATTCTCGGTAATTTAGATGAGTGGAAGTTTGTTTTGAAGGAAACTTTCCTAGGGAAAACTGTGACATATGATTGTCTAATTATGTAGTTTTTGGTCCTTTGCCTTCCTTCCTGGACTCTTATGGTCTTAGAAGGCAGGGGCCATAGGTCATGTAATCACTTTCCCTCCCTAGTGCAGAGCTTTGGGCATAGCTGGTATTAAACACATGTCTGTGGTATTACCTGGGCATCATAGGAAACATAATTTATACACAAAAATGTTTAATCATGAGCTACATATATTGAAAATATACATATAAATAAATATATATTTATATTCCAATCCAATGATCCTTATGATAAGAGTATTAAGATCTAAAGAAGAAATGTAAGCTCTAACTAGGTCAGTGATTTGCATTTATAAATTCAACTAGTATGTGGCTATCTACTAACTGTGATAGGTGTATTTACTGTGATTATGAGTATGAAGATTTCAGAGATATGTGTAAAATCTCCAGTGCAGCCAATGTGGTCACCAAGCTCTGTGTTTGTCAAGAGGAAATCCAATAGTTCTAGAGCCAGTTAACCAGCCTAAAACTCAACAGAAGCAGAGCTGACTTCCTATTTTTTCAAATTAAGAGAGGCTGGGTGTGGTGGCACTTGCCTTTAATCCCAGCACTTGGGAGGCAGAGGTAGGGAGATGTCTGTGAGATCGAGGCCAGCCTGATCTACATAGCAAGTTCCAGGCCAGCTGGGGCTACAGGGAGGCCCTGCCTCAAAAAAAAAAAAAAAAAAAAAATACTAATGATCATGTATTTGATAATTGAGAAATCAAACTCTATAAAAGAAATGGTGACATTAATAATAGTAAGTACCCAGATGCCTTGAAATGCCTCTCACTGGTTTAAATGCCTCCCAATGTTATGTTGCTGTTTCACAGATAACAAAAAATAAAACTATAAATATTAGGATAAAAACATTTTAAGTATAAAATATTTTCGAGTATAACAGTACTTTTCATTTTTCTGCAGTACTGGGTATCAAAAACAGCCAGTACCAACACCCTGAAAACCAGCATATACCCAAAGCATGAATTTTAACTAAAACTTTGTATAAACCTAAAATTAATGACGGATTGTTAAAAATCTTCTTTAAATTTTCCTTATTTTTCACTACTTTGAATCTTCATATTCAACTTTGTTTTTTTTTCCTTCCTCTTTTTCTTTTTTTCCTCAGAGGCCTCTGTGGGTATATGTTTATGTGCGTGCGTGCGTGGGTGCGTGCGTGCGTGCGTGTGTGTGTGTGTGTGTGTGTGTGTGTGTGTGTGTGTGACAGAGTTCAACACCCCATGTCTTCCTAAATTCCTTCTCTTGTTTAATGAGACAGGGTCTCTCAATAAACCTGGAGCTCATCAGTTTGGCTAGGCTGGCTGATCGCCATCAAGCCCCAGTGACCCTCATCACCATCTCTGCCTCCCAAGCCATGAGACTATATGTACACACGGCCATATCCAGATTCTTACAGGGGTGCTGAAGAAACAAACTTGGGTCTTTATGTTTTCACAGCAAGCACTTTACTAAGTGAGCTATCTCCCTAGTAGACTTAAATAGACCTCAGTGGATGAACTTGTACTTGGAAACATCTGGGGACATGGACTTGACACATTGGGCCCTAACATGAATGACAGAGTATGTGTGTGTGTGTGTGTGTGTGTGTGTGTGTGTGTGTGTGTGTGTCAGGGGCTATGGGATTGTTTGAGATATCCTGAATAAAATAAAAATTCAATAAAAACAAATTTAAAAAATTAACTTCTAAAGTTAACAAACGAAGTAATGGGTTTCATCCTGGCATCTTCGTACATATGCCATTATGCTTTGCTTTCATTCATTTCCACCTCCAGCTGGGTCCCTTCCTTCCCTGAGTTCATCTTCATACAAGTCCAAGATCAATGCACTGTGGGTCTTGTGAAGAGGTGAGGATAGGTTGTTCTTCTCCAGCCTGTGCCCTCCCAGTTTTTATAGCAGGGATTTGAGATCTGAAGGAGTGTTCTGATTGTGCAACATCCAAAGATTCCTTTCAAATGTTAATCCATTGAGGTGTGTAGCCAATGTAAAAGCTGCCTAGAGTATATTATCTGGAGGCTTTGTGAAAGAAAATGCAGGAAAAAATGATATAAATGTGTAATTGTGTTATTATAGATGCATTATTATTCTTCATGATATATTGTCTAGCAATGTTAACAATTCTGTCAGAGTTCTCATAA